CCCCAAAACCCCAAAACCCCAAAACCCCAAAACCCCAAAACCCCAAAACCCCGTCTTTAATTGGCTGGATTGAATGAATAAAATCAGAATTTTATTAGGATTATCAAAGTTAATTAATAAAAACAATGGTAAAAAGAGAGTCTAAGTACAAGACCAACAAGAAGATTGCTAAGAAACCAGCAAATGAGGTTAATAAGTACATCGCAAATTACTGCACATTTAATAAAGTCCAAGATGATATTGGGTATATTGGACGAGAACCAGATGATATTAAAGTTGTTCAAAATGTTGAGCAAAATACTAAAATGACTAATAACAAATATTGTAAGATTAAAGTATACACTGACAATTCTCACTACGAAGTTATCGACAAGAAGAGTCAAAGAAAGAAAAAGAATAGAACAAAGAAAGCAGAATTAAGTGATGAAGAAGAAAAATTACCAATTTTCAAAGGGCTTCATGAAGGATATCAAAAATATAAGGCTCAGACTGTACAGGACGAGAAAGATGAGGTAAATATTTAGTAGTTTGCATATTATATTTCAACTATTTAAACCCATATTTGCTAAAATTTTGTCTAAAACTAATGTTCCCTACGATTGATCAGAACTTAGCTTGCCCAAATAATGTAGCCAGATGCTAATCAGGACTTTTATTTATCCATTTCTTAAAAACTGAAGAATCTTAAATAGCCCATTTTTCTAGTAGCCTTTGCTGATTAAAGTTTAGAATCCAACTGTTGATCCAACTTCAGAAGAGTATGGATATCATCAAAAACTAATTAACAAGGAGAAGAATAGAAAGAACAAGAAAACCACTTTCATCGAAGGAAATCCCAACCATGTGATTAACCAAGTTAGCATGCCAGATACTTTTGAATTTTCCAAAAAAGAGCTTCATAAGATGGTTGTGAAAAATGCAGGCAAGAAGGGAACTCTTATCAACCCTAATGGCCCTTTTGATACAGAAACTTATGCCCTAAAAGCTCAGGTATATATATTTTGGCATTGGAAGAGTAACATTACTTGTGTTTGATAATTAAATTTGCATTTAATTACCCCGATATATTGTGACGTTTTCATATCAAAACCTTACTTATATGCCTATTTAGAACCGTACAAGGAAGAAGAAAACTCATAAGAAAATAATAGAAGCTGAAACTGGAAAAAGAGAAGAATATTTCCATAGAACCCCCTTCACCCTTTAGGAGACATACTAAATTTAAATAAATTAAAATTTTGGCTGGAGATCGACCAAATTTCAATCCAATATATATGAAAAGGGGTTTTGGGGTTTTGGGGTTTTGGGG